TCCTTTGCCATGGGTAACAGAAGGAACAAGAAGTGAGACAGGAGTACCAGAACTCCAGGAGATTCTAACCTAGAAAAGACAGGAACCCTATTTTCAATGGCTACATTGGGCGACCAGTGCACCTAAATTCTATTTTTCACCTTATGTCCATTTTAAGAGGTTTAAGAGGGTGAATGATTATGAAAACCCTGCCATACTCTATCCAAAAGGCAATAAAATGTATTGCCTGGTATCAAGCTTTAATTAATATTACTGCAAGGTGCGTTCCACTTAACCTTCCTCAAATGTAATTTCAGTTACTGGAACAAGAAGTAACTTGTATTAGATGTATCTCTTCATATAACGGACACTGCTTCTTTTTGTAATTGCTTTATTTTTAAAGTTAAGTCATAGAGCACAGTTACATAAATACAGCCATGAACAGATAGATGGCCAGGTAACATTATTTCCAGTGATACATATTAAAAAAATAAATTACAAAGTGACTGACACATGGCACAGGAGAGTAGAGAGGTTATTCTGCAGTACAAACACAATAAGAAAAAAAACATGGGTGTATGGTATGGGAATATGCATCTCAAGGTGTAGAGGTGTGCCTGAGCAAATCTGATTCCCGGTGGCTAATAAGCTGACCATAAAAACGGATGAGTGCTAACCTTCTACTATACTTCTGAGACCAGGATGTAAAAAAGTGGGGAAACTATGTGAAATCTTAGAAACCACCGGGGGGGAGGGGGACCAAAGAGGAGCCAACACAGGAAAAGGTGAGCTGGGAACAAAGGCATTCTTCCTGGCATGGTAAAAGGAGAGAGGCTCAGCAAATTACACAGGTTGTGTCAGTGCATTTAAGTAAGCATCCGCATTGCCAGGGCATCCAAGTGGACCTGAAGGTCTCTTCTGTATTGTGAGGTGTGGCAGTAAGGTCTTTGATATCTCCTATCTCATTGACCTTAGCAAACCAAAGAGATTTTGTGGGTGGGTCCGTTTTGACCATCCACCTTTTAAATACAGCAAGGGCCTGTATTCTAATTCAATGGAAGCAAAGTAAATTTATGTTTCTCTGAGAGGTCCAACAGGCAGCCTGCCGGATTATCACTCAAATCCACTGAAATGAGCTGCTTAATAATGCCTGTCATGTCTTGCCAAAAAGGTAGTATTTGGGAATATTGCCAGAATATGTAAAACAAGGTACCCCTCTCTTTTTCTTCACCAGTCACTGGAGGCCTAGGGAAAAACATGGTGAAGGGTTGCTGATACCCTGTACCACCTCATCAGGATTTTATAGCTGGTGGGAAAAGTGGAGAACTTTTGCTCGTTGAGCAGTTAGGCATATTCCAAAATCAGATTCCCATTTCAACAGGGAAGGAGTATGAGCATAATTGGGTACAGACCTGATCAAAGATGCATAAATAATAGAGACAATGACAGATTGGTTTTCCTTTATGAAATAGGCATTCGAACTCTATTGAGGGGACAGATAATACCCCTCTGTCTGGAGAGCTTGTGTAGAAAATGGTGCAGTTGTAGCCCAAACCAAAAATCTAATCGGTGATCGAACAACTGGTTCACATTTACCGAGGAAAGGGTGCTGTTATGGATCAGGTAGTCTATCAGGTGCGAGCGAACACTGCCTGAAAGGCATTGAATTTGTCTTTAAACCCAGGTTCTGAGGTAAGGAATATGTGGAACCTGGGTACTGTGAAAGGTTTCCCTGGAAACTGTCAACGTACTCCCCAGGGTGGGATGCTTGCATATTCTTGCCAATGCCTCCACTGGCTTCCACTCACCCAACAAATAAAGTTCAAAGTACTACCAATTTACAAAGCCATCCACAACTCAACCCTCAGCTACATCACTAACCTGGTCTCAAAATATCAACCAAACTCCTCTCTTCAGTCCTCCCAATACCACCTGCTCTCTAGTTACCATGTCACCTCTTCCCATGCAAGCCTCTCTCATCCTATGGAACTTCCTGCCCCAATCTGTCCGACTATCTCCTAATCTATCCACCTTTAAATGATCCCTGACAACCCTTCTCTTAAAAGAAGCCTATCCTGCTTTAAACAAATGCACTGTGTTTTTACTTTCTCCATCAGCTCATCCCCCACAGCTATTACCCTTTGTATCACTTGACCCTCCCTCTTAGATTGTAAGCTCTAAAGAGCAGGGCCCTCTGATTCCTGCTGTACCAAATTGTATTGTAACTGTAATGTCTACCTACTTAATTTTGTAATGCACTACGCAAACTGTTGGTGCTATATAAATACTGTATAATAATACTAATAATAATACGTCAGGTGGTAACAGGGAGGAAATCCAGGGCCAACTCAATGCTGTGTCTCCAGAGTCTTCACCTCTATGGACACCCAGCGGTTTGCTGAGCCATGACAGTACCAATCTACAACTCTGGTCAGGTGTGTCGCTCTATAATAGACCAGAATGTCAGGGAGGCCCACACCTCCAGCCACCTTAGGCAGTTTTAGAAGCTGTAACCTAAGACAGGGTTTTTTATATGACTAGACGAACTCCCGTATCATGGTACCCATTCTTCTGAAGAAGAAAGAGGTCAGTCTGATAGGAAGAGCTTGGAACAAAAAGAAAACCCTGGGGAGAACTATCATTTTTATGGCATTACTGCGACCAAACCAAGTTAAGTTCAACTATTGCCAAGCCTGTAGATCATCCTTGATTTTCCAGAGTAGGGGGTCAGATCACTGGGATCTGACATGATGTTGGTTCCCAAGTACCAGATAGAGACAGAAGCCCATTGAAACGGAAAGTGGGGCCAGACAGACTGATTGGTAGCCAGGTCTGTAAAGATATTGAGGATTTAGTTAAGCTTATTTTGAAGTTGGATAAAGACCTAAGTAATGCAATGCCTTGAACATCTTTGGCAGGGTATTCATGGGCTCTGTAACAAAAAAGATCAAGTCATCAGCAAAGGCTGTAACCTTATGAAGATTTTATATAGCCGGATATGTTAGGGTTCTAACATATGTTGCAAAGAAAAGGCTCTAGTGTCAGAATTAAGATTATGGGGGACGATGGGCACCCGTCTCCTCCCACAACACTACCCCTCTTGCATCAAAAACAGTAATAAAAAACAACCAGCTAAGTAGATGTGGACAATTTCCATGTTGAGAGTTCCTGCCATTGAACTATAGCTGAGCTCGTCAACATGGCAACTGGCTAAAGGGTGCTTTACAATGGAAATTTTTTACTGTTAATAAATAGGATAGGTTACTGTGCAGTGATTCGACATAGAAGAGCCTTGAGCTAGCTAGTAGATATTCAAACAGCAATGCGGAGTTGATTCTGAAACCTTACAGGAAAGCTTATGATGCAAAAATAACTAATACTCTTTTGAAGATCACAAACCATGAATTGCTGAATTTCAAGCAATGGTGTGCCAAAGTGAGGTAGTCCAGTTACCTTTTTATAACAACTCTAAAAGCATCCAATACCTGCAGACAGTTCAAGGTCAGATAGTCTACTGTACACCAGCCCTCTGAGTTCCTTTCCATGCTTTGTCTTCATTCTTACCTGTCACCTTAAAGAGAAAAAACCCCAAAGTAGATTATCTCTTCCAGTCTCTAGATCTTAGGTCTCCAATCATAAACTCACTCATATTATCTATCTGACTTGCCTTTTACCAGCTGTATCCCATCAATTCCAACACCTTCAGAGAATACCTTTGTGCCGTGTCTTAGTGGGTTAGCACACTCGCAGACTAATGCCCCGTACACACGATAAGAAAATTGTATGAAATATTTTGCAGAACCACTGATCGAACAATTTTCTCTTCGTTGATGAGCAGGATGTTTTAACCGATGATATTGTGAATGAAAAAATCTGGTTGAACAACAGTGAAAAATGTTGTTGTTTTGCATACGAACAACCGATTTTCTATGCAGTGGTATGACGGTCGTACGAAAAAATCTATCAAGCGCTATCACGCATGAGCGGAAACAGAAGATGTCTCGGATGTTTATGTCCAAGGAATCTTCGTAAACACGAACGAAAAATCCAAATGTTAAAAGTAGATTGGCCTAATGAGATAATGAAACCAGAATTCTGCATATTATATTTTATTTATCACTATATATATAGATAATATAATAAACTATATTATACTCATTGCTGTTAATTGTTGTGTATATCGCTCGTTCTGGCCAGAAGGACGTGGCTACAGGTCACACGCATACTGCATCACTTCCACTTGTACGGAAGACATCAACACTGCGTATTGCCCGATGAACAATTTTTTTAGATTGGTTAATGTGGGCCAGGATTTCAACCAACGAACGAACGCCTCTTGGTCGTCAGATGACCAATCAGTCGATTTTCGAATCATGTATTCCCACCTTTAGAAAGAAAAACAGTTAAACAGAGCCACTGTCTAGCTCTACAAAGGAAGTAAAGCCTGCATATGTTATGAACAAATACAGTATGTCTGCCCCTGAGTACATATATATGTCTTTGTCATTGACAAAAACAGCTGTTGACCCCGCCAGAAATTAAGTGACCTGATAATTTCCTCTACTAGGCCTCGTGCACACTGCAGCGTAAAAATGTTCAGTACTGCAGGTTTTTTTACTCATCTAAAATGCATACCATTGACTACAATGTGCCTGTACACAGAGGTGCATAAACAAGCACTGCATATTCATGAGTAAAAAAATAAATAAATAATATAGAAAACTCTGCATTCCTGGTCAGTATTTTGTGCCAGTACGCGCAAATACGTGCATATGAGCATAAATATTAACACATTTTGTCTAGGGATGTATTGTAAGCGCAAACGCGCTTTCAAGGTCAGATTTCTTGAGTACTCAAAGACCAGGCTGGCCTTGTATCCCTTCATATATATGTAACACACATATTATTATCACAAAGTCAACTAACTGGACTAATAAGTATTCTCGGTTCACAATCAACAGCTTTAAATATTATTGGGTCCTGTGAGTTTCAGGGCTTTTCCACATCTTGGACACAAACAATTATGAAGTCACTTTCTTGTATGTAACCCGTGTGTGACGAGCCATGGCCTGTGTGCTGGTCGCCATGCAGATTGTATGCTCCAGTTTTCCTTCGGGGGTCAGACGGAAGGTGCGGGAAATCTGCAAACAGGAGAAGATTGATAATGGAACACTAATAGCAAATACTATCATCTAAAAACAGGTACAAAAAAGTCTATGTAACAGGCTCCTTGTACAAGAGGATTCAAAGGAATCACATGCTCAGCAGTCAGTCCTTTCTCTCTCTCTCCTAGTTCATGACTCATCCACTACACAGCAAACGCTGGGAGGGGGAGGAAGCAGGAAGTGAAGGGGAGAACAGAGAGACACGAGGCTGGAGAAAAAGACAGGGACACGTGGAGCCCATCCAAGCAGAGGAGGAGGCACTACAGCACTCAGCGCGGATAGAGGGACCCTGCTGTGTGTTCAGAGTCTGGTGAGCTGTCCCCCTGGAGAGAGTAAGACACACCATTTACACTTTGCATATAGACTGGGACATCCGCATCCCACTGCTGGGATCTCACCCATCCGGGGCCCTGTGCAAGCCACAGATCCCTCTGCTTGCTTTGCCCCTCACCACCAGTATAATTGAGACTGTCTGCCCCGGGGACTGACACATACTGGGAAATTGCATCCTGCGACTGCCCCTGGTCTTGGGGTGCTTTGTGTTGCCTTTAGACACTGAGGTTGGACCCTCTCAGCCCAGAAACCTAGTGAAATCTGATGTAACCCACACCAGCTGAAACTCCAAAGAAGTCTTCAGCTGCTATTTACTTCATTGTAAGGAATAAACGTGCACCAACTAGAGCTCCACCGTTACAAGGACTAGAGTGGGGGAATCTGGCTTAGTAGCTTTATTAGAGGTACCTCTTTATTGCATTCTGTTCTGACTCTGAGGTGATTTTTTGGCTAACGCCCCTCAGAAGCAGAATCATACACCGGTGTGGGTAATACATTTCATTGATAGAGTATAAGTAAGTTTATTTGTTTGATATCAGTTGTATTCTGCTTAAAGTGCGGCTCTGCCATCAGGAGACTCTTGGCTGTGAAGCCCTCTAGTGGCAGACCAAATTTACTGCATTGCATAAAAGAAGAAAAGTAAGTTTTGAAGTTGAAAGGGGAACCCCACCCCTCTACACTACATTTTATTCTCCATAAAATTGTTCTTGTTTTATTTAACCCTGTGACAGCAAATGTCTTGGCGGGGTATTTGCTATTCATTACCAGTTGTGCCAGAGGGATTGGGTTTGCTTAGGGTTGGATCTAATGAGCGCAGGACCCATAATATATTCCAGCTTGTCCCAAGGGGGCAGTGCTACATGTGGGGGCTCGTCCGGGATACTTGCTGCTCAATTACCCAACAACCACTCAAGCAGTGCCCTATACCAACTCCTAAGATGGACGTCGCAGCCGCGACCAAGTGGTGCAGCATGGAAAATGCTTGCCCAGAACGGAGTGTAGTGATCGAGTTCCCCAGAGAAAAGGGGACCGAGGAACAGATTAACAAGATAGTGAATGCACTACCCACAGAGGGGAAGAAAACGTGCGTGATAGATGTGATACCCGCCTCAGACACCACCCTGGCATATGCCCTGCTAGAGTGGAAGAAGGGGATCCCTGACAGTTTCCAAGGAGCCAATATCCAAATAGAGGATGGGACAAGGCTCCAGTTACTTCAGTTGAACACCCCAGGGCCTAGTTGTGCAAAACCTGAGAGGGAAGAACCCCTGTCCCAGACACCTCTAGCCACCATAGGCCCGGAACTCCTCACTGCATTGGGGGACTTCATGTTAAAATGCCACAAAGACCCCTCTCCATACACAGGGATGTATCGGAAGCTCCGATTCTTCTCGGGTAGGCAACCAATACCTACCGGGGAGGATGGCTTTGAAGAGTGGCTAGACCAAGCCATGCAAGCACTAAGTGAATGGGACATTCCTGAGACCCACAAGAAACAGAGGATTACGGAGAGCCTAAGGAGCCCTGCATTGGAGGCCATTCGCAACCTAAAACTTAGCAAACAGGATTGCACTGCTCAGGACTATCTAGATATTTTACAAGATGTATTTGGGCGTACTGAAAAGGCTTCAGACCTCATCTATCAGCTAGAGCATACCTACCAAAATGAAGGGGAGAAACTCTCCAGTTACATGGGACGTCTAGACAAGATAATATACCAAATTCTGCTAAAAAGGGGAATAGGCCCTGAAAGAGTAGATGAGGTTCGGGCGCAACAAGTCCTACGGGGAGCCAGGCCCTAGACCCCATTGCTATTCTATTACGAACTCGGCGAGATGGTGGCTCCTGAACTATCCAGACTTGATCCGGACTGTGAGAGAGGAGGAAGCCATGTTGGATGACAAAGAGAGACAGTCAGATTCTGTTGTAGGGGTCCGGGTAGTCAATGTGGGAGGTGACACCCCTGAAGTTGAACTTCTTAAGACTCAGGTGTCCCAACTAATGGAGATGGTGACCTTACTAATGGCGGGACCGTCGGGTTTTAGCGAGAGAGATGAGAGCAGTTTCTGAAAACCTGTCAGGAGTTGCCCCAACGCAAGCAACTAGTCCCACCATTCAAATGATCTGCTTTAATTGTGGAGGGACCGGACATGTCAGGAGAGTCTGTCCGAGCCCCAGGAAGCCTGAAAGCTAAGCGCCAAAAACGGCGGAAAACTTCAGAGGGCCCTGGTGAAGGAGCAACCCAGGGACCCCACCACCGTAGCTAGCTCCACTCAACCAAGTAAAAGGGGGGCGAGGAGAAAATCTGGTCCTATCCAGAAGGACCCCACCATCCCTTACAAACAGCCTAGGGAAAATGCCACTTCACCTCAGGGAGTCAGTGCACACCTCAAACCTGGGAGTCAACCACGGCTTAGGCCGAGCCAAAACTCCCCCAGGAGGGGGAGTAAGGATAAGAACTGCAGAACAGAAGAAGACGGCTACCTGTTCACCACTCCTGGGAATTTAGTGGGACCCTCCCCTGTCGTCCGATTCAGGTAGAAGGGATTTATAGCAGGGCTCTTCTGGACACCGGAGCCCAAGTAACCCTTCTGTACCGAGACTTCTATGACAAGCATCTGAAGCATTTGCCCTTGCAGAAGCTGGAAGACCTGGAAATATGGGGCACAGGAACCCAGAAGTTTCCCTATGATGGTTACCTATCGGTCAGACTAACTTTTGATCCTTCCATGACAGGGAAGGCTGAGACTTTCGAAGCCTTAGCCGTCATCTGTCCCCGGCCGCCTGGGGCCAATAGGAGTCCCCTAATCATAGGGACCAACACCAATCTTGTCAGAAGGCTGTTGGCGCCATTGGTCGAAGAGCCCAATGATCAACCCACTTCTGTACATCCCATGCTGAGGCAAGCATATCAGCGCCTGGTACAAGAGAGGAGAGCCCCAGCGGAAAGAATAGGGAAGATATGGCGCCTGGATCAACATGAGAAGGTGCTACAACCCGGAGAGGGTGGCGTGTTTACAAGCATCAGTCAAATTGACCTGGAAGCAGCCAGGCCCCTTCATTGTCCTTGAGGCTGGTGGCTGTGAAGAGAACACAGGAGTGGAGATCCTCCCGGAGGTAGTGTCAACAAAAGCGCTACGGAGGAGCCACGGAAAGGTTTCGGTCAGTGTTGATAACCCAACTGCTGCCCCAGTGAAAATCCCAGCTCGGGTGCTGTTAGGACATGTGGATCCTGCAAACCCCAATCTTGCCCACTGAGCTAGGGGACGGAAGAGAGAAAGAAATCCCTGTCGATGCGTTTTTACCCAAGGAACACCCCCCTTTCCCCGAAATGGAGAGAGAGAGCGAAGAATCAACTCCTAAGGTGGCGGGCTGCATTCTCCAGAAGTGAGTTCGATGTGGGGTGTGCAGAGAGTGCCCATCATCGGATTCGGCTTCGAGAAGACAGGGAAAGGGTTTCGACGAGTTCCATTGGGAGATTTGGATGACCTGCGTGAGCAATTGGCAGAGTTGTAGAGGACAGGCATCATCAGAGAGTCCCGAAGCCCATACGCCTCTCCGATAGTGGTGGTCCGGAAGAAGAACGGATCTTTGAGATTGTGCATCGACTACCGGACGCTAAACCGAATAACTGTTCCTGATCAGTATACCACCCCCCAGGATAGAGGATGCTTTGCAAAGCCTATCAGGGGCAAAGTGGTTCAGTGTGCTGGACCTAAAGAATGGGTATTACCAGATCCCCATGACCCGGAAGACCGAGAAAAAAGAAGACCGCGTTCATAACCCCAATAGGGTTCTTTGAATTTGATCGGATGCCTCAAGGTTTGTGCAACTCTCCAGCCACCTTTCAAAGGCTGATGGAGAAGACGGTGGGTGACATGAATTTAATTGAAGTACTGGTATACTTGGACGACATCATTGTGTTCGGGAAGACTCTGAGGAGAGATTGGAGAAAGGTGCATGATGAGGAGAAGTATGATTGGAATGAAGGTGCTAAACAAAATCAAAAAATTACTTGAAACACTCATCATTGTGGGATCTGGAGGACTGAAGTTGTCTTTGGAGACCCCTCAGACAGCTTAATTAATATTTACCAACCAAAATGAGATAGGGACTAAGTCCCCTCGGTCAATTACCTGGGTCATATCATATCTGCCGACGGAGTGGCCACTGACCCCCAGAAGCTGGAAGCTGTCACCTCATGGCCAAGGCCCACAAATGTCACAGAGCTCAGATCTTTCCTGGGGTTTTGCTCCTATTATTGCAGATTCGTCCAGGGCTTCGCTCGGATAGCCCGCCCACTCAATGAACTGCTCAGAAACGAAGAAGACAATGATGATGCAGATCTTTCTAGACCTGCGAAGCCAGCAGTGGGACCCAGGAGGCCTAGGGAATCTATTCAAGGACAATGGACAACCCAGTGTGAAGAGGCCTTTGAACGGCTGAAAAAGAGTCTAACCCACCGCCCCAATCCTGGCCTATGCAGACCCAGCCAAGCCGTACGAATTGCATGTGGATGCAAGTAGAGATGGGTTAGGGGGAGTCCTCTATCAAGAACAGAATGGATGCTTGCGACCTGTCGCCTATGTGAGCCGGGGTTTGGCGTCCGCTGAGAAGAACTACCCCACCCACAAGCTTGAATTCTTGGCCTTGAAGTGGGCAGTAGTGGACAAACTTCGAGATTACCTATATGGAGCAGAATTTGTGATAAAAACAGATAATAACCCCCTCACATACATTCTCACTACAGCTAAGCTGGATGCTACTGGCCACAGGTGGTTAGCTGCCTTAACGGAGTTCACTTTCAGCCTCAGTTATCGGCCAGGGATTGGGAATAGGGATGCAGATGCCTTTATCCCGAAGACCTCACTGTTCCAAGGATTCCCCAGAAGAGTGGACTCAGGTGCCCTCTGAAGGGGTACGAGCCTTATGCCAAGGAGTGGAACACCGAACAAGAGGTGGGTCCAGGGCAGAAGACATTGGGATTTCGGCGTCTGGGCGTTCCCAGGTGTTATTGCAATGTCACCCAGGTTGGGGGTGAAGGCCTGCCCAAGCTTTCCAGGAAGGATCTGCGAAGAGATCAGTTGGAAGACCCCCTCTGTGGCCTAGTATTGAAGGCTTTAGAAAGCAAAAGCCCCGATTTTGCTTCTTACATCATCAACGGGAGGCCCGGCGGCTACATCGTGAGTGGGATCGGCTACAGTTACGCCACGGAGTGGTCTACCGAAGGGGCCCCTCTGATGATCCTGAAGTAGTGTCAGAACCAACATCGGAAGCAACGCCAGAACCATTGCTAGAGCCCAGGGAACAGAGAGAGCGTAGAGTTATTCAGCCCCCAAAAAGACTGACATATGATGTGTTGGGTGAAAACTCTGAGGAAGTAGTACATGCTTCTAGAAGGAATCTCGTGACGCCTGGTTCTCCTACAGCAGTTTCGGTAGAGAACAGCCCCAACTCACCCCCTGGCACATCTGGTTGGGCCATTCCCATTAGTGTGGCCTATGGGCAGGACAACCCTCACTCTGCTACATGGTGGGAGGTTCCTCTGCCAGATTCTTATGCAAGTGTGAATAATTTAATTTCCTGTGTGTACTAACTTTGCTTTTTCTCCGCGTGTATATAAAAAAAAGCATGTAACAGGTTGCTTTTACTGCTGTCTTTGGAGGACCAAAGCTTCTCTGGTGGGGGGAGTGTGTAGCAGGCTCCTTGTACAAGAGGATTCAGAAGGAATCACATGGTGAGCAGTCAGTCCTTCCTCTCTCTCTCCCCTATTTGTAAAACCTGGGCATTCTGCCAAGTTGATGACTCATCCACTACACAGCAAGAATGCAGGGAAGGGGAGGAAGCAGGAAGTGAAGGAGAACAGAGAGACACGAGGCTGGAGAAATACAGGGACACGTGGAGCCCGTCCAAGCAGAGGAGGAGGCACTACAGCACTCAGCGCGGATAGAGGGACCCTGCTGTGTGTTCAGTCTGGTGAGCTGTCCCACTGGGAGAAAGTAAGACACATCATTTACACTTTGCATATAGACTGGGACATCCGCACCCCACTGCTGGGATCTCACCCATCCGGGGCCCTGTGCAAGCCACAGATCCCTCTGCCTGCTTTGCCCCTCACCACCAGTATAATTGAGACTGTCTGCCCCGGGGACTGACACATACTGGGAAATTGCATCCTGCGACTGCCCCTGGTCTTGGGGTGCTTTGTGTTGCCTTTAGACACTGAGGTTGGACCCTCTCAGCCCAGAAACCTAGTGAAATCTGATGTAACCCACACCAGCTGAAACTCCAAAGAAGTCTTCAGCTGCTATTTAACTTCATTATAAGGACTAAACGTGCACCAACTAGAGCTCCACCGTTACAAGGACTGAAGTGGGGAATCTGGCTTAGTAGCTTTATTAGAGGTACCTCTTTATTGCATTCTGTTCTGACTCTGAGGTGATTTTTGGCTAACGCCCCTCAGAAGCAGAATCATACACCGGTGTGGGTAATACATTTCATTGATAGAGTATAAGTAAGTTTATTTGTTTGATATCAGTTGTATTCTGCTTAAAGTGCGACTCTGCCATCCGGAGAGACTCTTGGCTGTGAAGCCCTCTAGTGGCAGACCAAATTTACTGCATTGCATAAAAGAAGAAAAGTAAGTTTTGAAGTTGAAAGGGGAACCCCACCCCTCTACACTACATTTTATTCTCCATAAAATTGTTCTTCTTTTATTTAACCCTGTGTCAGCAAATTTGTTGGCGGGGTATTTGCTATTCATTACCAGTTGTGCCAGAGGGATTGGGTTTGCTTAGGGTTGGATCTATTGAGCGCAGGACCCATAATATATTCCAGCTTGTCCCAAGGGGCAGTGCTACATCTACATTTTGTGATTTCACACGACCACAAGCCATCATGTCTCTGCAATATGAAATGCAACAAAGTGATCTGTTAAACAAAATTCAGTTTTGTGTAAATGTGAGAGAGCACAAATATACACGACAAGTGTATTGGCACATGCTAAGTGAAACGGTCATACAAATTATGCAACAATGTAAACACAAAACACATACATATTTGTGATCTCTGCATTTTCTGGATCATCTATTCTCAACCAGGGTTCCTTCTGAGATTGCTAGGGCTTCCCTGAGCTGTGGCTAACTGACCTCCTATTTGATTTTACCTGCCTAGTTCCACGACCAACACCCAGTGCCGGGCCAAGGTCCTCTAGTGCCCAGGGAGAAGATGCCAAATGGTGCCCCCCCCCCCCCCCAAATGTATGAGCATTGTGTGTCAGTAAAAATATCCCCCCTGCCCCAAAAAAACCAATACATGCACTATAGGAGGTCTATAGGATCACAGAATCGGGGGGCCCCCCGCTAGTGATGCCAATGGCTGTCGTGTTGCCATTGGGCAGTGTTTGCTTACCTGCCCCCTACCTGCTCTCCTTGCTGGAAGAAGATGGTTGAGGGTAAACAAACACTGCACAGTGGCGATCGAGCAGTACCGATCAAGGAGAGCTGCAGTGGCAGGAGATGGAGCTGGAGGGGAAAAAGAGCACAACCCGTCCCTCCTCCCTCTTCTCCAGATCTGGCTTGTCTCCTCCAAAGCTAAACTGACAGGAGTAAGATGCTGCCATCACTACTCCTGTCAGCTTGTAGGTAGGAACTCTCTATACGGTGCCCCCCCCCACCCTCACATAATACCACTGCGCCCAGGCAGCCGCCTCTCTTGCCCACCCCTTGTCCTGGCCCTGCCAACACCACTTGCCAAAGTCAGCATCATGACACAGATGGTCTTCTTTGCCAACACCACTTGGCTAAGTCAGCATCATGACACAGATGGTCTTTTGGTGTCTTCAAGGGTTGAATGCTTCCTAGTGACCACCAATATATGAGGCATTTCTGTCATTGACACTCGATGAATTGGCTTTAGTAAGGGTCCCTTGAGACAAACATTAGTTTAGAGGCTCCTCTTAGGTAAAGAGATCGAGAAAGGTTGTTCAAGACTATTAAAACATTTAAAAAGGTTATATTATATTCTTTAAGATAAAGAATATATGTACAAACCTCGTATACATTGCCTTTAAAATAATATTCAGATTTTTGATTAATTAGAAACTCTTTTTTTTAAGAAAATTCTATATTCTGCCAGTAGTACTCTTTTTCTGCTCAGGCAAAATATGTCACTTCTGTTCTTACCTGCTGCACGTGAGGCTTCTTGACAAAGCTAATGCTGCCGAGTGAGTGTGAGGTCAGAGTGAGCTGTTTCCCCTGCACTTCCCCTTCTTCCACCTCCACAACACCTAAAGCGGAGAAAGGGTAAGAAGGTGACAAAATGTGTGTTGCTGCTGTATAACGGTACAGTAATTTTTTTATTACTAATCTGAGGTTAGGGGTTAAAGGGTTAGGGACTGATGTGAATGTACAATATATATGTGTAAATCGCTGTGTAAACTGACAGCGCTGTATAAGTACCTGTAATAAATAAATAATATTAAACGTTAGGCTTAAGACAAGAGTTATTCACCTAAGATGAGCTTTTCAATTATGCTTATCTACTCGAAGACCCACTAACATACATATACATTCAAGTGGTTATACCGGAATGATGCCTGCAGCTACAGGCATTATCCCAGCCGGTGGTTCCACAGGCCACAGGAGGACCGGTAGTCCGATGACCTCTATGACACAGGAAACTGGAAGCAAAGAGTACTATAGTCACTTCTGTTTTCCCGGATGCAAACAGCGCCATTTTTAAAATAGGAAAGCATTTGATCACACCAATCTTGATTTGATCAGATGCTTTTAGGACAGTGGAGAGGTATGGGATCCAATACACCCCTGATCTCTCCATAAAGAGTACCTGTTACTGTCTTTTGCTGTCACAAGGGATGTTTACATTCCTTGTGACAGCAATAAAAGTGAAAAAAATTAATTTAAGAAACAGTGTAAAAAAAAAAAATTTTTTTAAGCGCCTCCCATCCCCCCCCCCGTCCCCCCCCCCCCCCCCCAAGAAAAAGTATGTGAACACCGTGCTTGCGTGCAAAGGTGAACGCACACATTGGTCCTTCACATAGCTACATAGTTAGTCTGGCCAAAAAAAGGACAAAAATCCATCTACATGTAAATGCAATCGCACCACAGATGTGTGGTATTGCCACGAACGTCTGAGTGAGTAATAAGTCTAGCATTAGACCTCCTCTGTAACTCTAAAATCGGGTAACCTGTAAAGGCTTATAACGCATCGCCTACGGAGATTTTTTTTTTCCTCCAAATACCATATTTTAGAGTCATTCCATAAGCATGCGCATTTTTGTTTAGAGCATGACATGTTTGGTATCTATTCACTCGGCATAACATCATCTTTTATAGTTTACCAAAAACTTGGGTATTATATTGTTTTGCGTGCACTAAATTTCATGAAAATGTATTTTCTCCCAAACAATGTTGCATTCAAAGAACCGTGAGACATAAGAAATTGCTAAACCCACCATTTTATTCTCTAGAGACATCAAATGTGTATGTGTTATGTATTACTTTTCAGCAGACTGTGTTTCTTCTATTGTTGTCGAGACTTAGATTGACGTTGCAGAGGCACATTTTGATGCCCAATTCATAGCAAAACTCCAAATCTATATATAATGTTTGGGGGTTCTAAGTAATTCTCTTGCAAAAAATACAGATTTTTAAATGTTAATAAAAAGTGTCAGAAAAGGCTGGGTCTTCAAGTGTTTTTTTTTTTTCTTCAAGTGTTTTTTTTTTTTTTGCAGTACAAAATTATATGCACTAAAAGCAAAATACAGCTACCACAGTAAATAATGGCAGTACATGAAGCCCACAAGAACTCCATTCTAGACTGAGTATGGCATAATCATAGAAAGCAAATTATATAACAGTGGAATACAAGTAACCTTAAAAAAATAGTGGAAGATATGACTATTAAGCTATACTACCGTGTTCTTTTCATTTTAGCTTTAGACTATCCAAATTAATTAATGAGCCTAACTACTTGCATATATTGTGACAGATGGACAGTCTGAAAAGGCAGTTAGGGTTCGTTAACACTTGCGTTGATTAGTAACACACATTTTAACATTCATTTTTAGTGTGATTTGATACTTCTGTGATGCTTTTTTTGAAGTTTTAATGAATCTTGGCAAATGCCCTGTATTTGTCGGTTTCCTTTTCTTCCCATATATGAAATACAAAGTGAAGCCAACTCTAAAGAGCCCCTCTACTGCTGCAGGTAGGGTTAGGGAGCACAATGATAGACATCTATGGAGGCTTTGGAGAAGTGGTGAAGCACCAAAAAGCAACACGGGGTATAATTTCTGCAACTCAACAGTGTGAAAAGGACTGTAAGGCAACTATTTTATTCAGTGATAGCTGCTCTGATTGGCATTCAAAGTGCTTCATAAACGTGAGACAGATGCCACATTCTGAAGCAAGTGTGCACAAGGCCTTAAAAGAGAAGTTTGGGATTCTAAGAAAAAAAGAAACAGATTCATACTCATTTAGGTGGATGCAGCATCAGGCTGGGGGGGGGGGGGGATTCAGGCTTTTAAGACCAAGAATTGAGCTATCACAGACTGCTGATCGCTCAGTTCTTAGTCTTCAGTGAGCAGAGAGGTGGTGAATGTCAGTGCTCTGCCCCTCAAGCGCCCACTTTGGGCACCGAGCTGTGGAGGGGTGGAATTGGCTGGCTTAGGCTCTCAGCAGCGCTGTAGTGTTGACTGCTTGTTTTTGTCTAGGGGACTTGGTAAACCCCATTTACATACTTGATCCATGGATCCTGCTGGTTTCTCCACCCTCAATATTAACTTATATATTTCTGCACTTGAATAAATAAAAAATATAGTAAAAAGAAAAAGGAGGGGAAAAGCTGCTGGCACAGGTAATAAGATATAACCAACCTCACAAAATACAAATCAAAAAGTGCAGCGCTAATCATTTAAAAAGTGATAGTCCAACAAAATTGTGTTCCTATAACAAAAGCCTAAGATATGTGTAAAATAGTGCTTCCATAATAATCCAAAGGAAGACGAAGTGCCCATCAATGCAATTCCACTGAAGGAAATAGGAGAACACCTCGGAGGGCTGGTGGTAATTAAAGTAAAGTGAATGCTTACCAGAATCAATTGGCTTTCAAATGAATGAAAAAGCCAACAGCACTATAGGGAATAGCCCCAAGCCAATCCTTAACTGATGATGGGATGTTGTTCTGACTCTGGACTCTGCTCAGACTCCACTCCCAAATTCATAAACAGGAGTTAATCGCCTCCATGTCAGCATCATGAGTAATTTCAATGGTTTCCACAAGGGCCTTATCTGCACCAGACACCTCCCTGTGCGGTTGGGGATCCTATCTCCACCATGCCCACTCAGACAACTCTTCAGGAGTCCTGCCCGCCTCGGGCGTCACTGCTCCCCAGCCTCTTCTCCCCCAAGCTCTGGTGATATAAGGTCTTCTGACAGTTCCCCACTGGAACATGGGGGACACCCTCTGCCGGGGAAGTGCAGGATTGGGTATGTAATACTGCTTTTAAGTCCCCTAGCCATGAAAGAGAAGTTAACACTTGCAGTTCAGGCACACCCCCCCACTGCTAGGGAGTGTTTCCTAGAGTTGGGATTTAATTTATAATACTACCTTATTAAAATTAGGACAATCATTATACATTTGCAAACACTAAAATGTAGAAGTACCTAGGTTCTGGGCGCATACAAATGCCACCTTGTTGGTTCTCGGCTTCACATGGATGAATCCACACTCTCTGTGCAGTGGCTTCCCATTATCAGGGTTGGAGGCACAAAACCTTTAGAACGACATTACCCATACATAAATATATAATTTCTCATCACATGCCTTCAAAATGCACTTTTCATAAAATAATTACAACTGTTCCGTCTTTCTAACTTGCATCTGCCATTCTGGATGCAAGTCAAATGCAACATTATTCATCTATCATAAGATCTATATCTTCACTGTACTGTATATAGATGAATTGGGGACAGTTATTCAATCTTGGAAAAAATGGTGTTGCCTAAGGCTAAATGAGATTACTGGTATTATTACAGAAACCTACACTGTGTAAATGGAGTCTACGCTCTATGAACAAAACCCTAATATGAGGCAAATGTATAGTCTGGTATGATGGGAGGCTGAAACTCCCACTTCTCATAGTTGCCCCATATATGCATGTCTTGGTGCGGCAGCAGCTTTTGCCAGCCACAATGACAGTGAAAAAGAGTGGGGCTTAGTCAAGGTTCACACCTATGCGTTTTTCTGCTGCGTTTTGTGGAAACGCACAGCAGTCCATTTAACATGATTTCCTATGGAACTTTTTTAAATGCAAAACACTGCGTTTTTGGTTCTATAGACTTCAATGGAGAGCTGAAGAAAAGCATGTAGTGCATTTTTGATGTGTTTTCATTTTAATCTGCCCAGCAACAATTAAAAAAAAAAAAAACACAAAAAGCATTGAAAACGCATTTGCAAAAACGCACTGCATAAACGGATCAAACGCAATCTGCATAGGTGTGAACCTAGCCTTAGTGTTACGGAGATATACTTGAAATGACACCTTGTATTTCAAACATGTCTAGAATGGTAGCACCACTATGACAATTTTCGACTGCTGTACTGGAGTGTGGAATCTGTCAAACAAATCTTTATATCTCTGCTAGAATGTGCTGTCTGTAGTATGAGTTTAAAGCTCCATATAGTATAATTTTATTCATTCCTTTTGGGCCACGTACCCATGTAAGTCAGATTAATATAAATATAACACCTGCATGTCCACACTAGAGCTGGCCATACGCTATTAAAGAGAAGTATGGGATTTTTTTTTTTTAAATCATACCTAGGTGGATGCAGCATTGATCTAATGATGCATCTGTCCCCCACCGACTCTAAGGCTGAGAGCTGAGCGAACAGACACCGCTGATCGCTCAGTTCTCCCCCCGCCGCTTGGACCAGAGAGCGGTGACTGTCAGATACCACTGTGCTTTGCCCCTCCAGAGCATACTTGAGCATAAGGCTAGGGAGGGGATGGAGTGGCTGGCTCAGTCTCCCCGCTGAAAATTTTGGGTTTGGCTCCTTTGATTTTTCAATGGAAGAATGATAGGCAGGAGGGTGGCAATAAGGCCACTTATGAAGTGAATTGCAGTAAATTCATCAGGAACTGGCTACAATTCACATAGTGGGAGATATGACACTGTCTAAATCAGTAATATTTTTGCACTATATCAGCAAACCAACCTTTCTTTTACAAGCTACTTACATGAAATGCAGCATAGGCTGGCCAACATGTGATATGACAGCTTTATCCATGTAGCGAAATGATGGTATAGAGGGAAATTCCCCCTCCCCAAGGGGATCTGACACCCAGGTCCCCAGCATCCATGCTAACGGGGCCACAGCAGGGTTCAAAGTTGGTGCATCTGCAATTTACACAAAATATATTATTACCAGGTGTATAGGAAATAAGCCAATAATAGTTTTTATTGAAGGCATAGAAGAAACAGGCAAGTCAAAAATATTAAAGTAAACGGTAAAGTAGCCATTGAGTGTTCTATTGAGTGCTGTAATCCAGGCCAACCTCACAGTTTGCATCAGAATGAACACAAAGGACTCAATTAAAAGTGAAGAGGCTCTTAGATTGTAAACTCCAAAGAGCATGGCCCTCCTAACCCTCTTGTATTGAACTGTATTGTTGCTGTATTGTCTCCCGTTATATTGTAAAGCGCTAAGCAAACTGTTGGTGCTATATAAATCCCGTAAAATAATAATAATAATAATAATGTATAACAATAAACAATACAAACAACCATATATTCAGCTACCAAATGTATGCATGCACACATCACTCCCATACTTAAAAAGCCCTACTGGACCCCACCAACCTGAACAACTTAAGACTCATCTCCCTGCTGCCATTTACCTCTAAAACTCCTAGAATGCTTAGTCTACAATCACCTGAGCTCCTACCTCACTGACAACAACCTTCTTGACCCTTTACAGTCTGGCTTTCGCTCACTGCCTCCACTGAAACTGCCCTACTAAAATTCACTAATGATCTACTAACTGCTAAAACCAAGGGCCACTACTCCGTACTCTTACTACTTGAACTCTGCAGCTTTTGATATGGTTGACCATCCCCTCCCCCCAAAAAACTCCACTCTCTTGGCCTCCGAGACTCTGCTCTCTCCTGGTTCTCCTTCTACCTTTCACAGCGCTCCTTCAGCGTCACCTATAACTCTGCCTCCTCCTCTTCACTCCCTCTTTCTGTAGGGGTCCCTCAAGGTTCCGTCCTTGGACCACTTCTCTTCTCCATCTACACCTCTTCCGTTGGTCACTTGATAAACTCCCACGGCTTTAAGTACCATCTCTATGCTGATGACACACAAATCACCCCTTCAGTCTCCTCTCGCATTACTAACCTACTAAGTGACATATCGGCATGGATGTCACTCCACTTTCTCAAACTCAATCTTTCCAAAACTGAGCTCTTAGTATTCCCCCTAGCCCGTGCCCCCTCCCCTGACTTCTCCATCAAGATCAATAACACAATCATCAGTCCCTCCCCTCATGCCAGGGTACTAGGTGTACTCCTAGACTCCCATCTGTCCTTTCAGCCCTAAATCCAATCGCTGTCCAAATCTTGTAGACTTCACCTCCGCAACATCTCCAAGATATGGCCGTTCTTAACCTCTGAACCACTAAGCGACTTATTCACTCCCTTGTTATCTCTCATCTTGACTATTGTAACTCCCTCCTCATTGGCCTACCTCATCGCAGGCTATCCCCTCTTCAGTCTATCATGAATGCTGCTGCCAGATTTATCCACCTTACTAACCGTTCTGTATCTGCCACCCCTCTCTGCCAATCCCTCCACTGGCTTCCCATTGCCCAACGGATAAAATCAAAACATTAACAATAACATATAAAGCCATTTATAACTCTGGCCCAAATTACATCTTTCTCCAAATATCACCCAAACCGCACTTGCTGCTCCTCGCACGACCTCCTGCTCTCTAGCTCCCTTGTCTCCTCATCCCATGCTCGTCTCCAGGACTTATCCAGAGCTTCCCCCATCCTCTGGAATTCTCTACCCCAATTTATCAGACTATCGCCTACTCTGCTCACTTTTAGGTGATCTCTGAAAACCTATCTCTTCAGGGAAGCCTATCCTGCCGTCAGCTAATAATGGAGTCTTCTACTCTTCCTACCAGTCCATCCCCCATAGTTACTACCTTTTGTACCACAAGCCCCTCCCTCCTAGATTGTAAGCTCCAAGGAGCATGGGCCCTCCTATCCCTCTTGTATTGAACTGTATTGTTGCTGTATTGTCTCCTATTATATTGTAAAGCGCTGAGCAAACTGTTGGCGCTATATAAATCCTGTATAATAATAATAATAAAATAATAATAATGTAGAGTAAACATAATGCACTTAGATTTGCCTGAATTACAGCAATCAATGGAACTCCTATTCCAACCAAAATCTATGTAAGAATTGATGATGTATGATATTATAGTGTTCTTAGTATATCGATTTTCATATTTCTTATTATATTTTAATTATTGTAAAATTCTTTTTCCTTTGACTTGTTATATTTGACATTATATTTATGTTGTAGTGTGTCATCGTGTAATTTATCCCCTGAAGAAGACTCTACAGGAGTTGAAACGCATTGGAATTTGTTGTATGCATTGTCAGTCTAAAATCACACTGTCATCCTTTTTTACCTGTTTGAACATCTTTGCCATCATACAAATCAGTAAACCTTTTTATCTTTTGTATGAATAAAGTATTGTATTTTTTTTTTTATTGATTTGTTGTATTCAGCACCTTTAAAGTCCCCTCCACCTTATTCCTTGGGATATGTATAACTGTAATAAAAGTAAGTTATCTTTTTGAAATGCATTCATGGACCACAGCCTACACACACGTTGTGGTTATTTTTATCTAGTTATACCTGCAGGGTGTTGTGTGAACAACCAACTGCTGCCAAGTGAAATGTAAGTCAGGTATTCTGAATCTGCCAGCTTTCAGCTCTTTTCTGTGACAGAGGAGACTAAAGGTGGGAATAGACGATTCGAAAATCGACTGATCGGTCATCCGACGACCGAGAGGCGTTCTTTCGTTGGTCAAAATTTGTGGCCCACATTAACCAATCTAAAAAAATATTTGTCGGGCAATATGTAGTGTTGACATCTTCCGTACAAGTGGAAGTGATGCAGTGTGCGTGTGACCTTGTAGCCAGGCCTTTCAATCCAGAACGAGCGATATACACAACAGTTACCAGCAATGAGTATAATATAGTTTATTACATTATCTATATACATAAATAGTGATACATAAAAATATAATCTGCATGATTCTGGTTTCATTATCTCATTAGGCAATCTACTTTTAACATTTGGATTTTTTGTTTGTGTTTACGAAGATTCCTTGGACATAAACATCCGAGTCATCTTCTGTTTCTGCTCATGCGTGATAGCGCTTGATAGATTTTTTTTGTATGACTGTCATACCACCACATAGCAAATCGGTCGTTCGTATGCGAAACAACAAAATTTTTCACTGTTGTTCACCCAGATTTTTTTCATTCACAATATCGTTATCGGTTAAAACATCCTGCTCATCAACGAAGAGAAAAATCGTTCGATCAGTGATTCCGCAAAATATTTCGGATGATTTTCTTATCGTGTGTACAGGGCAATAGGCTGGTCATACATTATACAATTTTCTTGATAATTTTGTTTTAGATTTACCGAACACTATATAATGTGAGGTCAAAACCGAAACACTTTCAATAGTATCCAATTAGGGAAGCCCTTGCACTACATAGTTGAAGGTAAATCTAAAGGAAATTGGGCAGAAATTGGACAGAAAATTGTATAGTGTATGGCCATCCTAAAAGAGATGAAAAGGATAGAGATGTGTAGTGCAAAAGAGGAGACCCAAGGAAACAAACTCATACAGAAACACATGCAGGGGATTCATGGCATCCATCTTTAGCAGCTTTATATACTGCGTTACACTCAATAACTGGGCATTCTGATTTTAGAATAGTTTCAATGTTTTCTGCAGTTCACTGATTGATTTCACTTGTCTGTAAAATCTCTTTAATGACTGCTATGACCCTTGTTATAGCCCCCATGTAATCCAACCAGTGCTCCTCAAACTGTCAAGGAACAACAAATGCCAGCATGCCCTGTCTACCTGAGGCTGGGACCTATAATTACCCACCGATACAGCCTATCCCGAATACTCCAGCATTCTCAAAACTCTCAATAATGGCAACTATAAATTAATCTACCTCCTCTTCAGGTCAAAACATGCTGGCTGGCTGTATTGCCTAGTTACGGCATAAAAAAAAAAAATATATATCAGATTTCCCTTTCACTCTCCAGCTAACATTTTCAAGTACATGTGTGAAACTGAATATATACTCAAACACTTTACCCAAGGTTCACACCTAAGCGTTGTCCGCAGCATTTTGCAGAAACGCACTACAGTCCATTTACCGTATTTTTCACCATATAAGACGCACCTGACCATAAGACGCACCTAGGTTTTAGAGGCAGAAAACAGGAAAAAAAAATTCTGAACTAATGGACTGCAGACACAGTACAGGAGTACAGGAGATGACCAGAGACTGCGGGACAGTACGGACAGATGACTGCTGACCTTTGGGGAGGTGGGGAGCGGGTACCTGAATTTGACAGGTACCCGCTCTTACTTCCGCAGAGTTTTTGTTTGATCTTACCTGTTCCTCGATCCAGCCGAGCGCTGTCTTCCCGGCTTCTGTAATGGCGCTCGGCATGACAGCCGGGTGCCCAGTGCGCATGAGCGAGAAGCACTTGCGCTTTGTGATTGGTCCGGCGGCTTCTGGGATCTGTCATGTGTCCCAGGTACCGCCTTACCATTCACAAAAAGCACCGCTTCTTGCGCATGCGCACTTGGCACCCGGCTGTCATGCCCAGTGCCCACACTACAGAAGCCGGGAAGACAGCACACCCACTGGATAGAGGAACAGGTAAGGTCCCGCTGCAGAGCTGAGCGGCCGGCCCGGTATTCTGACACGGCCGCAGTGGAAATACCGGACCGGCCGCTTCATATTCGCTCCATAAGACGCACTGACATTTCCCCCCCAGTTTTGGGGAAGAAAAAGTGTGTCTTGTACGGCGAAAAATACGGTAACATGATTTCCTATGGGACAGGTTCACATCTCCACGTTTTCACCCGGTGCATTTTTTGGAAAGGGTCAGGGACTTTTTTAAAACGCAAAAAGTTGCGTTTTGGGTTCTATAGACTTCAATGGAAACGCTGCAGAAAAGCAAGTAGTGCATTTTTTTGCTGCATTTTATTTTATTCTGCCTAGCAACAAGAATTGAAAAAAAAAAAAAACCCGCTTGTGCAAAAACGCAAAACGCAC